CCCCTGTACTATTCTCTTCGGTGACGACAGAGACGACAACGACGACAACAAAATCATCAACTGGAAGTCCATCTTCAACAAGTCCGCTCCCGGAAGTCTCATCGTCCCAGGCGCCAGAGGTCACCACAGAGCCCTCACATACAACTGCCACGACAAATCAGCTGATGACGTCAGAAAAAACGAGCGTCATTACAACGATGCCTAGGTTTACCGGCATGTCCTCTACAGTAGCGCCTGACGTCACAACAGAGGCAGGGGATAATTACGTCACAACGGTTCCCCTTACGGGTAAGTTTGTTCGTTTGTCGTCATACTGCAGTGGTTCTTGTTACAATCCTGCCCTTGCCCCACCCCCCAAAAAAAAAAAGAAAAAAAAAAGAAAAGGAGGACAAAGAATTCCCGATTCCCCATCTTTTTGTCAAAAAAAAAAGAAAAGGAGGACAAAGAATTCCCGATTCCCCATCTTTTTGTCATGTTTTTCAGTCAATAATTGCCTATTCATAGTAACAAGACAGCAACAGCCTCTGTGGTTTAGCGGTTCCTTCGTATGCGAAACAAAAAGTCAAGGTGAGCTAGTCTAGACCTGCCTCCAGCACAAGTTCAACAGCTGACTACCCATGCCCACAATGTGGGCGAACCTTCCGAGCCCGGATAGGACTAATCAGCCATCTCCGGACCCACTGTCACCGACAACAGACCAATTTGTGAAGTCAAGGTCATCTTCATATGCCAAGAACGAACAACATTATACGAAAGAATATTCCTCTACCTAGTGTACACAGTTAATTTTTTAGATCTAAGCGTTCAGCCTCGCAAACTTCCCGAGAACTCCTATTTATTTTCTTTGAATAAAATAAACACAAAACTGAGTAGGTATGTGATTGGCGGGTGTTCCTTCTTCCCTACCAAACATCTATAGTTCTCATCTCTCCTCCTTTTTGTGTTTATTACTCTCTTGAAACACCTCTAATCTTTAGCACTATTTACAAGACATTTCTGGGCTGCAAGCGCCGTAAAACTCTTTAAAAAAAAGAAAAAAGAACGGAATAGAAATGTATTAGTTATAGTAAGAGTTTTACGGCGCTCACAACCCGTCGGGGCGCTTTGGAAGATTTAGCCACCAGCTTCCTCCACTCCTTCCGGTCTTCAACTTTCCTGAGCGTGTCTTTGAGTTCCAGGCCTGTCCATTCCTTGATGTTATCCTCCCAACTCTTCTTCCGTCTGCCTCTGCTTCTTTTCCCCTGGACGCTGCCTTGCAGGATCATCTTGGCAACGCCGGATTAAAGGGTGATGTGTCCACACCATTGCAGTTTGCGTTTCCTGACCAGAGTGAGAAGGTCAGCTCCTAACCTGAGTACGTGTAATTATTTTTTATCAGCAGAACCAAGAAACACGAGCGCTAGAGTGACTCCAGCGGGGAAAGTACAACGCAGTACGGCTGGTAAGAACAAGATTTTGTCCGTTTTTGGGCATATGGAGTTATTGGTACCATCTTACGTTTCTTTATTTGTGTTGTTTTCGATGAAAAAAGTACTTATCTATGTTGAATAGAAATCAGGATATTTTGCAATTGAAGAAAGTGGGGGTGGCCAGATATCAGAGGTAAAAAAGGAAGAAAGTGACTGCAAAGTTTGGTGATTTCCAAAGCTGAAGTGTCCATGGAAACTACACATTTACATTTTTTGCCTTTGATCAACTTAAAAAATAAAATAAAACCAACAAAAAATGTGATCTTATATAGATTCTAGATGTAAAAAGAGTTGAGCCCAAAATAAAAAATTCAATAAAGATTTCTCAACGAATGGAAAATGAAATTTCTTCAATTTCATTATTTTGACGAGCGCCTGACCCCAGCACATGTCTCACAAATGTGTATTATCTATTTCCCTCACTAGCTTCGGGAAGGTGACGGACTTGTGTTCTGGAGTGGTGTGCTTCTTCTATCACTATTTTACTGTCCTCTTTTGCAACCCTCCATCTTTTTATGTTTGCTTCGCTCTAGTAACTCAAATATTCGACGCGCGCTCATATGACCTTAGCAGTTGCGAGCGCCGTAAAACCTATACTATACTATACTAAATATTCGACACAGGTGGGTGGAGGGCGTCACTGGTAGGTCCTATATTTTTACATTCCTTCTGTTGTTTCTGTCTGTATATCTTACTTTTTCCCAACATTTAATGACAATTATTAAGTTGATGTGCTGCTCTTTCCCCAAACAAACAGTTGTTTTTCATCTATTATTTCCTTTGGTCTCTTTAGTCTTTTTCTTCAACGAAAAGACTGATATTGTGCCAATGTGGGCCTCTTTAGTCAACTCAAATACAGACTCAAACATATCTGAAAAATGACTGAATAATTGGGAGGGCGCTCTGGTGTGATTTGTTCTTTCTTTTTCGTCAAACATCTATCGTTTTTATCTGTTCTCCTTCATTTTTATGTTTATTACCCTCCTTTAACAGGGCTAGTCATCGGCACTTATATGACCTAATTGTGTTACAAGTGCAGTAAAACTCTAACTAAATCACTCAGGTCTCTTCTTTTGCTTTAGCCCCCGATTCTGATATTTAATTCCCTCTGATATCTAATATCTCTTTATTCCCTAATTGTGTTGCAAGTGCCGTAAAACTCTTACTACAACTAAACTAAACAAATCTAAGTTGATGGTGTTATTTTATCTCCAGCTTCAGGAACTCTGGGCACTGGCTACATCATCTTCATTGTCATCATCATCGTTGCCATCATAGTCCTAGCTGCTGCTGTTGGTATATATATTAAGAGGTGAGTAATTGTGTAGTTCGTTCATAATATAATAAAAAATAATAATAATAAAGGTAATTATAATATTAATAATAATTTTAAAAAAATATTTTAAAAAATAATAGTAATAACAACAACAACAAAAATAGAAATCATTAGTATAGCGCAACTTCCGATTCAACAGCTAGCTCCATGCGCTTTACAATCTATGTTATCACTCCTGCAGACCTGATAGCATTCTGAAACAATCTGTCTCAACTTCCTGGGAAGCATACAGTGCAGACTGTGATTTAACCGGGGCTTAAACACTAATATACTAATATCTTTTGCTGCCTATGGTCGTGTACCCATTCCCACCAGTCTGAAGTGGGGAAATTCGTGTAAAGAGCCATTCCCAAGGACACAAAGTCACGACTGAGACTCGAACCTCCGAACCCGCTACCTCACGATTACAAGTCCGAAGTCCAACCACAGAACTACCGAACTGTAACATATATAATTAAGACTGTGCCCTTTGACATAATGCTGGTGGGTGGTTGGCTGGCGCTCTGGTGTGGTTTCATCCTTCATTCTAGTCAACCATCTATTGTCCTGATCTCTCCTTCTTTTTTATGTTTGTTACTCTCTTGTAACACGTAACACCTCTAATTTTCGTCGATTACATGACCTAATTGTGCTGCAAGTGCTGTAAAGTTTTACTAAAACGAAATGTACGTCTTGTTCATCTTGGAGCCTGTCATTTGACTCGATTTTGAACCAAAATAAGGACAAAGAGGGGAATGTTGCACGCGCACTCAACTATCACCAGACTGGTGTTTTGCCCCTTAATTGCGTGCCCATGTATCCTAAAAATGGTGAAATTGTATGAGTTTAACGTCCCTATCAACACTATTAGGTTATATAAGAGTCGTGACCTCCTAATTTAATGTCCGTCTCCGATAGGGCCGAGCCAAATGGGAAGTTCGTGTAAAATGCCTTTCCCAAGGACACAACGTCGGACCGAGCTGAGGCTCGAACCCCCGAACCCGCAATCTCACGATTACGAGTCCGGTAGCTTAACCACTAGGCTACCGACGCCACCATGTATCCTAGCGTAGCAAAGGTTTTGTAGAGAGCAAAGAGTGGCGGTCAAGACCGTGCCCTTCTCGGATATGATCATTCAAGTCAATGATCTCGTTACTTTGATTCATTTTCTTGTTCATCCCACTTTTTTGCAGCCTTTGTTTTAGTTGAACGTGTTGGAAATTGATTTTCATTTCTTTCCTGCTTGTTTCAGTAGAAGATGTTGGAAATTGCTTTTCATTTTTTTTCAAGTCTGTGAGCTGTAGGATTTTGTCCTCAAAGTTTAGACACATAAGGAAAATGTATAGGTTCAAGGTTTACACATGAAACTGTCAAGAACTCTTGTTTTTCAGCTGTAATATCAACTAACAGCATCTTCTATAATTTATAATATCTACGAGGGCTGTTGGCGGTTGCTCTGATGTGATTTGCACCTTCTTTTTCTATCAAACATCTTTTGTTCGTATTGCTCCTCTTTTTTGTGTTTGTTACTCTCTTGTGTCGTCCCTAATCTTCGGCACTTATGTGACATAATTGTGTTGCTGTTAACAGCTGTAGAACATTTAATCAAAGCTAAAATCTCTTGTAATACCTCCAATCTCCGGCCTTTAAATGACCTAATTGGGTTGCAAGTGCCGTATGACGCTTATTAAAACTAAAGTGTGTTCCCCAGGCGGTTCTACCCAACTAACAGCCACGGGAAGCTGGTAGAGGAGCACAACCCCGCCAACTTCTACAAGATCGATCCTGCGACAGGAGAAGACTCCGTGACGATAGATTCGGGGATTGTGAACCCCTCGTATGATTACATGAACGGGGCTGGCAATGCAAGCGGCAACTCCTCCACATCAGCAGCAGCAAAAAGCACGCAGTAGGACGGACATCGATCTAACTTCAGTCACGATTGTGTACGCGCGTGTGTGTGTGTGTATGTGTTTCAGATTCACGAAAGTATTTGTAACTTGCACAAAATAATCATAACGATTACCTCCCCCCCCTCGTCCCCCATTCCAACCCCCATGTGTCTCAGATTCACAAAAGTATTTGTAACTTGCACAAAATAATCATAACGATTACCCCCCCCCCCTCCGTCTCCAATCCCAACCCCTTCCCCTCCCCTGTATCTCCATGAACACATACCATAGCCAAAGGGCCTCAGACAATGTTATGCTATTCGCCAAATAGGGTGCATTATCCAACATTTAACTCCTCTTCTGGTGGGGGGCCCCGTAGTTTTACTATGGGGGAGCAAAGAATACACCTGCCGTGATACTGCGTGTCGTAAGAGGCGACAAAAAGTGCATAGATCTGGTCGCCCGAAAAGTGCCAGTTTGCGGAGAGCCAACTACCCATCCCAGTAAAAAACAGTAAGTTACAGAAACACGGACAAACACAGCTTTTTATTTTTCGATCTTGGGAGACGGAGGAGCTTCTGTATCAGCAGGAACAATGAAGGACAGCGGACAAAGCCGAAGTCAGGCAGCTGCATAACAAAGAAAGTTTTGGATTGGAACCCACAGGGCAAGAGATCAAGGGGAAGACCTCGTGGAACTTGGAGAAGAATCACAGAAAGCGATGTACAGAAAAGTGGGAAGACATGGAATAACATCAAGAGGCTAGCCCAGGATAGAGAAAAGTGGGGGGTGTTTGTCCGTGGCCTATACCCTGATGCAGGGTGAGAAAGGCAATGATGATGATGATCCAACATTTAAAACATCGAGAACACACAGAGACGAAAACACATTCAAAAAGAAATCATCAAATGATCAAGTAAGTAAGTTCTGGACGTGTCTCTCTCAAAACAGTATCGTACGCAGTTAGAAAGAAATAGCCATCTTTACCAGTGCTGTGGATGATATTTTATTTCATTTCTAAGGATGAGACGTAAACCCTTTGAAATTACAATCTTCGAGCACATTCCTTCAAAATGGATTCCAGTAATTCCTCAAGAATTCTTACCTAGGATCGTTTTGTCGACCTTCATTTTGTTCAGCCAACCCATGATTATTTTTTGTATGTATTATTCCAATGCCGTTATTGTAACGTCAGTATATGTATTTTATACACGTTGTATGCGTAATTTTAGATACATGACATTCCAAGCAATCCATTTTTATTTTGCATTTATCAAATATTTTAAGCATAATCTCTTTTTCTTTCATACACATTTTTTCTCTTTCATTTCACTTCATGTGCTAATGTACACTGAACACCGATTGTCACCAAAGGAAGAAAGGTATCATCTTCTATTATGTACATAGTATACCCATGCATTTAAGAAAATCTATATTATATACATATTTTTAAGTATCGTGATGTGCAAAAGTTAAATGCGGGCTATTTTGACCCAATTTCACCGATGTCTGTGGAATATCGGTTAGGTGTTTCCCTGTCTGACACAGGAGACCCCAGTTCGATTCCCTTGTGGGGAGTGTTTTTATCAGGTTTTCAGTCTTCCTGCTGAGATGCTACCTCCCTCTCAACCCGGGTTTGCCCTGACCGGCAGAGTCGAAACCTGCCTTCTAAATAAATGATTAAAATTGTGTCGATGGGGGCATAAAAAAGCACCTACATTTCACCCTATCTGTCAGGGACAACCCCACATGACAGAGCTTGGACTTCAATTTTTTTAAAGTTTGTTTCTCACAATGAAGATCAACATAACTACTCAGTAACGCTCTAAGCCGGTACGCCAGTTACTCTTCACTTACTTGGGTTATCGATGCCAGTAGAGTGGTGTCGGTGGTCTAGTGTCCAGGCTACCGGACCCGTAATCGCAAGATTGCTGCTTTGTGGGGTCAGGACTCAGCTCAGTCGGACGTTGCGTCCTTGGAAAAGGCACTTTATACGAATTTCCTATTTTGCTCGGCACTTTCGTAGATGGACGTTAAACTCGAAAGTCCTGCCACTTAAATAACCTGATAGTGTTGATAGGGGCGTTTAACCTATTCCATGTCATATTTCAATTGTGTCAGTATTGTGTAATAGAGGAGACCACTTTCCAGTATTTGGCATACGTTGGTAAAAGTAAAGTTTACACCCTCATGCCATCGCGCATCACAATGATCCAAGCCCATCATTTCTGGTCCATCCTTTTTTAGCCCATCAAATAATTGCACTCTATTGCAGAATTGATGCTTCCAAAGATGATCGCCATAGTCATTACATGTTACCACTTAACTGTAAGTAAATACCTTACTTCTACCCAGGCTTCACCAGACTTCTCAGTGTCCCGCCTGTTTCTAACCAGGCTTGGAACCCACGATATTTTTTAATCTCTAGTCATCATTTTTATTATTGTACAAAAGGCACACTGGCAGCTCACCCTCAAAATAATGTTCGTTTATCTGTGTATAACATGTACTTTATACCTTTACACCTTCTTTGATTTCAAAATAATCATGATAATAAATGACATTTATATTGCGCTCAACCCCTTTTAAAGTACACAGGCTCTGAGCGCTTTACAATACAGTACAACATACAACAGTAACATAAAACGTTGTGTTCTGACAAAAGAAAATTATTTCAAATATTCATCTTATTAATTTAAAAATATAAACGACTTCAGCTGACGTTTGAATGAATCAAAAGATTTAAAGTACTTGGTAAAACATTCCAGATCTTGGGGCCTTGGTATTCAAATGCCCTTTCACCCATTGTTTTAAGTTTCATAGATGGTAAAATAAATGTCTTTTTGTCAGCTGACGACCTTAAACTGCGAGTTGGAATGTACAGTCTTAACAGATTTGATATATATGATGGTGCATTATCATTCAAACATTTGTGACATAGGGTGGCCAACTTGTACACAATCCTTTTCTCAACAGGAAGCCAATGCAAAGTTCGTAAAAGAGGTTTAGCAGTCTCGCTTTCTTTTCCGTAAAACTAAACGTGCAGCATTGTTTTGGACAGTTTGATGTCTCTCCTTTCTAGCATATCAAGGAAGTCAAGGTCAGAACTTGGGCAGTCTACTTCCTCTATGTCTACTGCCCAGGCAAAGCTGTACCATGCTCACTGCTTTAAGATCGTCTTTCAAGACGCAAAAGGCCATCATAACGTATTTGTGAACCATTATCGACCTTCATCTTCACCTCGCCCATCACCTAATGATACGGTGTTTTCAAGTGTTATACTATACAGTGTTGTCATTGTCTCTCCTCGTGCCAACATGGTTCTTCAATAAAGATGACATTGTTTCTGTAACTTTGTATTGTGTCTCTGGTACTTCCTCTAGTCTTGCGGTTGGTTGGCGGGTGCTCTGGTGTAGGTTACTCCTTCTGTCTTATCGAACAACTATCGTCCTTATCTCTCCTCCATTTTTTGTATGCTACTCTCTTGTAAAACCTCTGATCCTCGGCACTTATATGACTTTACAGTGTTGCAAACTCTTACCACAAAACTTTCTCGTGTTTTTATTCTATTTTAATGTTTACGCCCTCATAGGCACTATTTAGATCATAAACTATGCTGATTGCTTTGACCCTGCCTGTCAGGTCAACCCGAGCTGACAGGGATAGTTGGAATCGGTACCTCAGTGGTTAGGCTACCAAACCCATAATCGTGAGAGGTTCGGGGGAAAGGCAGTTTACACGAAATTCCTATTTGGCGCGGTCCTTTCGGAGATGAACATTAAATCGGAAGCCCTGCCTCTTAAATAACCTACTGAGTTGATAGGGGCGTTAAAAGAAACTGAATAAGGATCCAAAAACTTTACCTTCGATTTTCTCTGAACTGCATTTTTTCGGGATAGGCCCCGTGGGCTTAAAATCGACCATAAAGATAGCTTAGAGTAAGACTCTGCCATACCGCTACGTCAGAATCACAGTGTTCTATCTACTCAACACCTAGTTTTGAGAAGTTAAATGTCAAATTTACCTTAACCAGTGACATGGATACAACGTGTCAGCAGAAAGACAGGGATTATTATGATGGAGTAGTGCTACATCTGAAACAAACATCCGTGATATGGGTGGTTGACGGGTGCCCTGCTGTGGTTTGCTCCTTCTTTCCTATCAAACGTCTATCGTCTTTATCATTCTCCTCTTCCTTTTTGGTGTTCGTTACTCTCTTGTAACGCCTCTAATCTTCGGTGTTTATACAATTTAATTGTGTTGCAAGTGCCGTAAAACTTACTAAAACTTAAAGAAAAATTGTTAACACCCATTTTTGGGGTTTATTTTACTGAACCCGTTGATTAAAGGCGCAGGAGAAAAACAATGTAAATTTGCAGTTTTCAAGGACTCCCAAATTTTGGAATTCCCCTCACATTAGCAGCTATTGTCTTGCCTTTTTTAAACCTCTGAAATCAGATGACAGATGACCCCATCTCCTTCCACCGCAAGTATCCCAACCTCTATTCAAGATAACTTGTTTTCTTCTTTTCTTAAAAAGTAGATGGCGTCGGTAGCCTAGTGGTTAGGCTACCGGACTCGTAATCGTGAGATTGCGGGTACAGGGGTTCGAGCCTCAGCTCGGTCCGACGTTGTGTCCTTGGGAGAG